AAGTAATTCAAATGTCCCTATAAGAGAACCAGCAGACTGTATTCAGTCTTCATGCACAAGGATATGGGTTACAGTGGAAAGGAAAATACCTTTATTCACATCAAAGATTAACAGAGAAAACAGAGTAAATATCACCAGTATAAATATTTGGAGAAAAGTGGCTGTAAAGTAAGGAAATGTGATCAGCAACCATCCAATTGTTTTAAGTATTATTGGAATGTATGGGTCATAGGCTAATTTACATTTAGTTCTATCAAGTTTCCGTAGCAATAAATAAAAATCATTAATTGGTTCTAAACTGCTTTTTGAAAGAGTGGGAGCCCCCCCCCCCCCCCCCCCCCCATATCATTTGAATAAATAAATAAAATAAAATACGCCCATGGATCTCCTCCATGGCTCATTAGCTCAGTTTAGGAACCTTATCTTTGAATGAAACAGAGTTTCCAGAGGACAAGGATCTGAAAAACAAAACATTTCTTAAAAAATAATCAAGCACATAACTGATGATTGGTAAAATTGTAAATTCTGACAGATTTCATAATGCTAGTGAAGTCATGTACTATGAACTTCCATCAAGCATACTGTGGTGAACAAGATGTGTTTAATGACAGATTAGAGTCAACAGAAGTCGTTCTAACTATCTGAAGTGGCGTAAACAGTTGTGGTCCAGTGCTGTGGAAGCTCAGGTTCCATCAGGTTCCACGCTGACACGCCCCCCTCCGTGCGTCCGCGTAAAGGCAGGACCGTCCTGCAGCTGCAGGCTATTGAACCTGGACAAGTAGATCACCGAGGTGAGTTCCATAATACCAATGATCAAGACACCACTCTTTCGTTGTGTTTGTCGTCCTAGCTTTGCTCTGTTTCAGTAAAACTCTGTAGCAACTTTAGAAAGTTAGTTTTCTGGAGTCGGACAGGGCAGGCTGCGGGCAGAGCTAAGCTAGCGGCTATCCACGGTTAGCCATAAGCTAAAGGGTATTTGCGTGGATATTTTTAGAGTCAGAAAGTTATTTTAAGAATGTTTGCTGAAAGCAGAAACGCGATTAGAGCAGACCTTCATTACGACTTCCAACAAAGTGTTCAGCTTGTCATGTTTTTGTTTCTAAGTCGTCCTTAACAAAACTACGTTGTTTCAAAAGATTTGCTAATAGGAGTTAGCAAAGGAAACTAGCGAGATAAAAGTTGACAATGTTTGCATGTTTCGTTTTAGCTCTGAATTAGTATGAAAATACACCAAAGTAGTGAAGTAGCTGCATTATGGTAATGTTATTCGTGTGTGTGTGTGTGTGTGTGTGTGTGTGACGGTAAACGTAGAGGTGGCTAGCTTGTTTTGGGTAATATTTCAACTTGTTTGTCCTCTCTCATTAGCATTAACTCAAAATGAAGCTGCAAATAAGTGACGTTAGTACATCTATAAGCTTAAAGATTAAACGGCACCTGAGATATCACATCTTTTGCATACAAAGTTAGAATTGATGCTTTTATTAAAAGGTATCAGCTGTGGCTCAGTGTGTTTAAATATGGATGCAGAAACGATCTTGAGAGATAATCTGCTGTCAACAGGTGGAGAGGGAAGGATAATCAGAAGATCCTGCTAAAAGATCAAGCTACAGGCCCTCTTTATCAGCATGGGGGCTCTAATTTCACGATGGAGGGTTTGTATTTAAACCTTTGGTGCAACGTTTTAAACTTTCACTAACCAGTAAACAATTCTTTCACACTCAGATTAAGTGATAGGAACTTTTCTTATTTTTTAACTGCACTTCCTCTACAAGTAACACTTTCACTGAGTCACAAACATTTCTCTGCAACTCTTTAACATATTGTTTAAAATGTCACATGACACACACAGGAAATGTGCTAAGTTTTTGTTTAGGATAAATCCATTTAAAAAAATAACAAAATTAATATGCTTGAATAGATTAGCATTACCTTCCCTGATTTCTGTTTTCTGTCGTATTATTAGCTTAAAAAATCGCCAGCAGCATTTTACCAAAAGAAGGGTAAAAAAAACTGTGTTCGGATCCCGACAGGAAGTTTCTTGAAATTAATAGCTGAAAAAAAATAATTTTGTCTTTTACTCAATCTTTTTTGCAGACTAAACCGTCCACGGTGGATATTTTGGAGCATCTTGAAAAGGTATTCTTAATCCAACATGAATTTGAGAAAATAGGATGGAGACAAATTTTAAATTAATTTAAAATAAATTTGTTTGCATGATGTGCAACATTGTTTATTAAATCGATAAAACTGATGCTGCACAGCAAATGAACTATTTTGAAATGTTCCAAGTGCTTCAAGAACACAGCAAATGTCTTAATTTGCTGAGTGGTGGGGCTTTTCTGCTGTTTTGCAGCTAAGCTAGTGTTAGGCTATTTTCAGCCTGTTGTCCTGGGAGCAGTGACCACAACAGCTCTTGATGTCAGAGAGACATCAGACGGCATTTAAGTTGTGGTTTTGGGCTTTATCTGCCTCTTCCACAATATTTCTGTCATAAAACCTTTTTCTATGAGTGACATCAAAGCACCTACAGATCATCATTGTATTGAAAGGCAGAATAAGTCAGAGAAATGTTCATTCCTTGCTTAGAGTGACAAACACACACACACGTGCTCCAATGGCACCATAGTGGCGAGGAGTGGGTCCTGTTCAGTCCACCAGTTATTTTTAGATGGTGGCTGCGCGCTATAGCTGTGGTTTTACATTGCAACATACGAATCTGAGAATAAAATGGTAACTGTTTAAGTTCTTTGTCTAATTATGATGTAATTTAAACATTCTCCTTATGTGTTGCTTGGATTTATCCTTCACATAATGCGTATGTATTGTGCAGTAACCTTTTGCATCTTTATTGCTCCACCAATCAATGGGAAACCTCAAATATATGTAAATTTACGTAGAAACAGAAGTCTGTGGGTGGAATCTCGTAGTCGTGGCGCAGAATTGTGGGGGTGTGTAACTGAAGGGGAGAAACGGTGTAGGCGGTGTACACGTCAAATGTAGCAAAATAAATATTATCGGCCATGACAGTGGTATTACTATCGATATTGGCACAAATTTTAGGGATCCCCAAATTTAGGGACATATTGAAAAAGGTCTATTGGTAAGCCATTGGTTATTGAATGAAATGTCTTTCCTGTTATTCTTTACAAGGACATACAGACTCTTGAGGAATACAGTGTGAAGTATCAAAGGCAGCTGAAGATCTGGGTGGGACGCCTGCTGCTCTACTCGTCTCTACTCTACTTGATCACTTGCCTGGTCGTATATTTCTGGTATTTGCCCCAGCAGCTAATGGGAAGGCTTGTGTTGTCTCTTCTCTTTGTAGTTTTTCCATTCTTGTGAGTAAAGAAGACAATTAGTTGCATTTTAAATGAAATGTACATAATCACAAAACTGAATCACTTTTATTTTATTCTACCTCTTTAGAGTGTGGGTTCTTCGGAAGATGCTCGTATTTGTTTTTTCACGTAGAACGGAGAAAAATAGTAAGGCTCTTGATGCGTGAAATACATCTTCATGTTTCTTTTTCATGTAGACTCAAACTAACAATGTCATTTTTGTTGGTAGATGAAAAACTGGATGATCTGAAGGCACAAAAAAGGAAAATGGTGAGTGATATTCTGATATTTCTGAGTATACATAATTAGTTTTTATTAATCACTTAAAAGTTTGAATCCTTTCAGCATTGCACTCATCTCTAAAGCGTCCCGTATACTTTGCTTATGTTTGGATTTGCGCTGACAGCTTGTAAACGGTACAATGACTTAACCCAGCAAACCAGTCTGCTAATGTCACTTTAATTAATAGCATTTAGTGCAGAAAAGAAATAAATCTGATAAATGACTTGTCATCCTCTGTCAAGTCCTAATAACGTTCAATAATTAGGGCTGATGAATTTTCACACTCTCCATTATCGAAGTAGTGAATGTAATTATTCTTCATGTTATAAGTAACACGTTTAAAGTCTTAGGTGTTTTATTTTAAATGAATATCTTAAAGGAAAAAGCTGTTGCGGTGCTTTCTTTTTTGATATTATTGCCTGTTGTTAGAGGTGATAGGAATATATTTTGTGTCCGCTTTAGTTTTTAATTGCTCTAGATGATCACCAGCTAATATCGCTTGTTAGGGCTGCACGATATTAGGAAAACCTGCGATATTCGATAACAGTGCTTAATATTGCGATATCGATATTACTCACGATAAATGAATAGATACTAAAGTATGCGGTGTTGATGTCATTGGGCGTGTGACGTCTGCTCTGGGTTCAAAGCAAACAAAAATTAATGCTTGAATTCCATTACAACATAACATTTTTATTGTAAAAATATGCAGCTGCACCTGCTACTGTATTAGCAGCAAAACAACAAACTGCATGCATGCAGTTTCTCAGTGACTTTAAAACATCACCTCCACCATAAACCTTTTTCTGATGCTCCAAATACAGAAAAACATCCCTTACCAGGGTTTTTAGAATAAATAAAAATACCAGAAAATAAGTTTAAATGTTAAATAATAGTTAACATCACTTAAATGCAACAGCAAATTCTCTCATTGCTGCTGAGCATTTTCTCCACTTATGTGGTTATGATATAAAGCTGTTGCTGTAACTGGGAAGTGATCTGTGCTGGGCCAAACTAGGAGAATATTAAGATTTTCTGAGGGAAAGAGAAAAACAATTGTCTACCTTTCAGAAGAGGAACTGGCAAAAAACTACATGGAAAATATGTGAAAACGTTTGGTTTTAACCCCAAATTGAACAAGTTTACCTAGATCTTAAAAAGCAGCTCGGATGATGAAACTGCAACTATGATTCTGATAACAAGCTAACAAATTGAACTAGCTCCTCTTAAGATAACCGGCTAGCAGAGCTTCTGACTGACAGTTTATGTGCAGCAGCAAATCAACTATCCTGATTAACAAGGTTATAAAAGCTCATAAATGAAAAATCACTTTGATGTGTGGGGGAACTTTTCCAGGCCCTCGTTAGCAGGCTGGGACTGGGAGGAGAGTGTTGTAGCCTTTTAGCTGGAAGCTAACCGGAGCCTGGGGCTAACATCACCACCCGGTGGAACACTAGCGACATGAAGGTGGGTTGGTTCACCGGCACGTGTCGGAGTCAGCCCGGTTATTATCAGCTGCTTAACGACACGGAGCGGACTCACGTTTGAAAGCAGCGCTGATTCCAGAAACCTCAGCACAAAGTGCGTTCATTAATCTGAGCCAGCGTGACGAACAAGGGAACGGCGCCGCTAACTCAGTTCGGGTGTTGCGTTCCACCCATCCTAATGGTCTATGTAGGGGGGCGGGCATATTACGTGAACGGACCCATCTGATTGGCCGTAAATCAGAAGGGCTACATTTGATTGGTCAAATAATACTTCCGCGTAAAAAACAGAGCTGGTTTACAAAAAGGTGATGTATGACACGGATGGAAATGTTGAACCAAACATTTATCGCCGTTTTTGACGTGCTTTGCGATGGACCTGTTATCCCGATGATGGTAATTTTTCTATATATTGTGCAGTCCTATCGCTTGTATAGTCTAATTATTACAGGAATAGTTCCTGTGTGCTGTTTTTTGAGCTCAGGATTTGAGCATTCACCCTCATAATATTCCCAAATGTCTTCTCCCAGCTTGAAGACGTCATGGAAACTGAGACGTATAAGAACGCCAAAATGATCCTGGAGCGGTTTGATGCAGATTCCAAAAAGAAAATTGTGAGTTGCTGCCCCGCTTTTATCCTTCAGAGTTACCCACTTAATTGTTTTTGATATTTCTTATTAAATCTCTGTGAAGGAGCTTGAATCCACTCCAGTGGGACTCCAGATAACTCCCAAACCAGGACAAGGTAGGATTACTCTTTAAGAAAATGCCACTATAAACACACATCCTTCTAATTTTTAGTGTTCCTTAACCTTTATCCGTTAGAGCTTCGCCATCGTCACGTCGTGCCAAGGACTCCGGTGGTGTTGGTGAATCCTGGAAGCGGTGCAGCCACCTGCCCTCCTCTTGCGTCTGGGCCCAACTATCCTGGACGATCTTCCCACACTGCTCCTGGTGGACCCCCAGAGAGGAGCTTGTCAGCAGTAGCTGCTCAGCAGAGCTTGATGAGGAAGCCCGTGACCCCGGGAACACCTGTTCCAGGAGTCGGTGAGTTACCTGCACACAAGGGGACCGGATCATAATGTGGTCGATTAAGGTGTGATTTACTCTTCCCTGGCTGTGTCTCCCCAGTTTCTCAAAGCTCTGTGGTTTGTGTTTTCAGCAAGGTTGTGGTATGTAATGCAGTCCTTGTAATGATGGGTAATTGCAGGAAGGTAAATCTAAAATATTTTACTAAATGAGCCAATTTTCACAAACAAGCGTGTAATTATGAATCAAATTCAGAAATGAGCTTTTATCACAAAATGCAAAATGTCTCCCGAGATTTTTTTGGGGCTCATTCACTGAGAAAGAAACCACGTAATACTTGTTCTATTTGAAACACGATGAGTCATTCTGAGTTTCACCCATCTTCACCCGTGCTGAATGTGAAAATACTCTAACTCCCCTTTCACACTAGAAAAAGCCAGTCAGCTCTACGTCGCAGGGACAATTAGCTTCACGGACTCGCCCACCTTGGCTTGCGACCGTGGAAGATTATGTTGTTTTAGTGGCCTGGAGAGAGCAAAGTGCATCTCGGCTGGTAAAAGCTAACCATAGCTTCCGCTCTTAAGACATGGTGGAGATGATAATCAATGTTGTAATTTTTACCCAAGAATGAAGAGCAAACGGAGGTAGTGGAAGAGTCGCATAGCTGGTAACCATTCATAAGTGTTGCATATCATGAATGTTAATGAGCTGACCCGGCTTTCCACTGGATGTGTAAGTGGCCTTTAACATCTGTGGGGGGCAATACACAACAAATGGCTGCCGTCATAGCTATCAGGGGTGTTTTCACCGAGCTCACAGCAGCACATTCCAGAAACGTGGTTTCAGATTTTACACATCAAGCTCAGAAGTTCAGAGCAGGCCAGACAGGAATTCAGACAAGAGGCGGTGTAAAACTTCCAGCAAATTTTAAAATAAGACGTGTGCATTTTCCTTGCTGCTTAAATGTATGGAAGAATTACATCCTTACCCGTGACATCTCCTTATCATAGGTAGAAAGAACTCGTAATAAACAAGAGCTTTTGTAAACACGTTACCATATTTTTTTGTTTTTGCATTTTTATCGAGAAATGACAAAATCACGCCCGATCTTTTAATTGTTTGGTGGTTTCATAATCTCATTGGAGTGGAATGCATTCACAGTACTGTGAGTCTGGAACAAGAAGGAACGCCTCACTCAGGGTATCCGCGGGTCCTTAAAAGTCTAAAGTCTTAAATTTGCTTTTCCAAATTTAAGGCCTTAAAAATCCATAAAAATGACTAATAATCCTTAAATACAGTTTCCAAAGGTCTTAAATTACAGACGACCCAATAAACTAGATTATTTTGTTTCTATAAAATTTTCGTGAATTTCTAGTGTTCAGCATTTTTTTGTGTATGATATTGGCATAAGCGGAACCGTACACATTCAGTTGGTTGTGAAAGGGGGCTATTTTTAGATGAGCACATTAGCTGGTTAAGCTAGTGGGAGCTTGCGCCATGGGGAAGTGCAAGTTTAATGGTAACTGGATGGCTAATCCCACGTTCGCGACGTGGTTGGCACCAGTTCCAGGCAACAGCCGGAAATTATAGCTTAAATTTATTTTTTTTTAAATTGCTTACATTTGGTCAAAGTGGCCTTAAAAAAAGGTTTTAAAGTCTTAAATTTGGCTCGCTTAAACCTGCAGATACCCTGCCCACTAATAATGCACTAAAATGTTTTAATTGCATAAAAACCCTGGTTAAAACTTTAAATCCTCTTGTTGAGACCTTCAATATAAGTGCTTCTGTGAAGTGTAGATTTAAAACTCAGTATTCTGTGCAAAAACGTTTCTGTAATAAAAACAGTATAAAGGGTAAAGAGACGCTCCTGGTGTAAGCTGTGGTGTAACGCCAACTGAGGTTTGCACAAAGCTGGATCACATTAACTATGATTAATTAACCAGATCTGTGTTTCTTCTCTGGTGGTTGGATCTCAATAAATGTCTTTTAATTCTCGGTGAAATAGCTTCTGGCATTGGGATCTCCTCACAAATGGTTTACATGACTTTACGTTATCACCTGCGTGTGTTGAAAATTGGAAGTGAAAAGCAATTTGATACAAAGAGTCACCGCAGAGTTTCCATATGTTGGTAAATTAATAAGCAGCAGGAAGCGGAGACTCTGCCAAGTCTCACAGAAATGACCAGTCATCTTCCTATGATTGCTCTTGATGTTGGATCATATTAATTACTACCTGCCGACGCAGCAGGGGCTCACAACATGCTTTGCTAGTAATATGTCTTTGGGTTTTTGTGCATCATTAAGCAAAAGGTTTTTATGAAATTTGTCTAAATGTAGTGCTTCAAACTCCTTCTCTCCTTCTCTTGCTGTATTCGCGGTGGAAGACTACCTAGCAGTTGTGTTTTTGTTTCACAGGCATGCACCCCCCAGGCCCGCCACTGGCCAGACCTGTGCTCCCACGAGAAAGAGGCGCGATGGACCGAGTTATTGAGTATCTGGTGGGAGATGGCCCACAGAACAGGTATGTACTCTACTATACGTGGACTTGTTTTTTCCCAAAGTTTAAAACCAAAAGGTGAATCTAGACCATTTAAAGTGCATTTCTGTGTAAAAGTTTAGTTGTACCTGTTTAGAAGGGTTCCTGAATGGCCTCAGTTGTTTGAAATGGAGTTTATGTCCTATATGATTGGGGAATCGGCTAAGATTGAAGCAGCATTGCTTTCGGTCATAGCTGTTCGTGCATTATTGAATAACCTCGTCATTATTGCATTACCCTAGCCAGGCAAACCACCCATAGGCAGAGCTTAGTCATGGGACAGCATCTACTGTTCTTTCAAAAGGTCTCCACAAGCTACTGGACAATGAACAATGTGAAATACTCATTGCTAAGGATGTCAGTCAACGGTTCAGTCCGCCACACACTTTTGAAGAAGACACAAATACAGGTCCTTCTAAAAAAATTAGCATATTGTGATAAAGTTAATTATTTTCTGTAATGTACTGATAAACATTAGACTTTCATATATTAGATTCATTACACACAACTGAAGTAGTTCAAGCCTTTTATTGTTTCTAATATTAATGATGATACAGCTCATGAAAACCCCAAATTTCTATCTAAAAGCATATCATGAAAAGGTTCTCTAAACAAGCTATTAACCTAATCATCTGAATCAACTAATTAACTCTAAACACCTGCAAAAGATTCCTGTGGCTTTTAAAAACTCCCAGCCTGGTTCATTACCCAAAACCGCAATCATGTGTAAGACTGCCGATCTGACTGCTGTCCAGAAGGCCATCATTGACACCCTCAAGCAAGAGGGTAAGACACAGAAATGAATGTCTGAACGAATAAGCTGTTCCCAGAGTGCTGTATCAAGGCACCTCAGTGGGAAGTCTGTGGGAAGGAAAAAGTGTGGCAGAAAACGCTGCACAACGAGAAGAGGTGACCGGACCCTGACCTGCAGAAGCAGTGGACTGAGTCTCGAGTAGAAACACCCAGAACCACCGTGTACAGGCGTGCGCAGGAAATGGGCTACAGGTGCCGCATTCCCCAGGTCAAGCCACTTTTGAACCAGAAACAGCGGCAGAAGCGCCTGACCTGGGCTACAGAGAAGCAGCACTGGACTGCTGCTCAGTGGTCCAAAGTACTTTTTTCAGATGAAAGCAAATTGTGCATGTCATTCGGAAATCAAGGTGCCAGAGTCTGGAGGAAGACTGGGCAGAGGGAAATGCCAAAATGCCTGAAGTCCAATGTAAAGTACCCACAGTCAGTGATGGTCTGGGGTGCCATGTCAGCTGCTGGTGTTGGTCCACTGTGTTTTATCAAGAGTAGGGTCAATGCAGCTAGCTATCGGGAGATTTTGGAGCACTTCATGCTTCCATCTGCTGAAAAGCTTTATGGAGATGAAGATTTCATTTTTCAGCACGACCTGGCACCTGCTCACAGTGCCAAAATCAATGGTAGATGGTTTACTGACCATGGTATTACTGTGCTCAATTGGCCTGCCAACTCTCCTGACCTGAACCCCATAGAGAATCTGTGGATATTGTGAAGAGAACGTTGAGAGACGCAAGACCCAACACTGTAGATGAGCTTAAGGCCGCTATCGAAGCATCCTGGGCCTCCATAACACCTCTGCAGTGCCACAGGCTGATTGCCTCCATGCACACCGTATTGAAGCAGTCATTTCTGCTAAAGGATTCCCAACCAAGTATTGAGTGCATAACTGAACATAATTATTTGAAGGTTGACTTTTTTGTATAAAAACACTTTTTTTTTTAAATTGGTCGGATGAAATATGCTAATTTTTTGAGATAGGAATTTTGGGTTTTCATGAGCTGTATGCCAAAATCATCAATATTAGAAACAATAAAAGTCTTGAACTACTTCAGTTGTGTGTAATGAATCTAATATATATGAAAGTCTAATTTTTTATCAGTACATTACAGAAAATAATTAACTTAATCGCAATATGCTAATTTTTTGAGGACCTGTACTGTACGTCCTTTTAACTAAATAAGGGACTTATCTGCTCTTGACTTAAAGAAAAGCCCAAGTCTAAATAGTCAAAAGTTGATGCCAAAGGTGTTTCAAACAAGCCATTGCATCGTTGTGTGTTTGCTCAGTCACAGTAACATCCCACCCACTGAACCAATAGAGTGCTGTGATTGGTCCACCAAACTAGAGTGCAGTGTTTGGCAAGACACACGACTGGTTGCGACTGCTAAGGTTTGACTGGAGTGTGGCTGGACTGATCTGCAAATCAAAATCATTTTTCTTCTAGTCTGTCTAGATTTCTAGACTAGCATTACCCAGTTATTTTGGAAGAAATATTAAACCATTCATTCTAAACTGAACCTTGTGAAGTGGTGCATTCTGTTGCTGGTAGAGCTGCATGATAACAGTGATTATTATTGAGATGATGATATAACTTGCAATAAATAAACAAATACTTAAATCAAGCTGGGAAACGCAAAAGTTGTGATCAAAAGATGTGAGGAATGGGTAAAAGAATATGACCAAAAAAGGGAATGAGTGGATCAGAACGAAGCTAACTCAGGTGTGTGCTAGCCATCCAAATTGAGTGCCTTTCATCTATCTTACCTATCAGAACTCACTAGATTGGTCAAATGAGTGAAGGGCTCCATTCGAATAGTCACAAACTTAATGCTTCCGTTTGCAAAAATGCGTCACGTGTAGCAAACATTTGAGCTGACCATTCATTGTGTTTTTTCTGTTCTTTGCGATATGCGTATTGCGCATGCTGATATCGCGATGATGATGATGCATTTGTGATGCATTATGCAGGCCTAGTTGCTGGTGATATTTACATTTGTTAATATGGTGCAAAAGTTTATAAAACAATGTTTGATTAAATGTTGTTAAGCATGATAAATGTAAATGTGTTTAGCTGTTAGCTTATCATTCCCAGGTAGGACTGGGTGCCAAAAAAAATCTTTGTAGCTAAACTCCAGTACTTTGCCAATAAGTCCCAGATTAAAAAACAAGACATTTAGGTTATTTTTTTATATATTATTTTTTTCTTATAATTAAACTTTAAAATATAGGTGCCAATAAAATTTATAATTCATGTACTGGTGCTGAGGTATTGTTGAAGTTCTGGCCTGACGCCTTTTATGCAGAAAAGAAAATCACTTTAACATGTCCTTTTTATTTCTTTTAAATATGTGCCAGCAGTGTAATATTTATTTAGAAGTAGAATTTGTGAATCACTGTTAATTTTAATGAAATTTTAATGATTTAATGCTACAGAAATCTTACGGTTTTCTATTGGGATTAAAACGCAGAAGACCTTGAAAAGTTAAACAACTTCTGCTTCATTTGTGTGTTGATACTGTCTTTGTGCTAATCAATAATTCTGTCTTCACAATCTAATTTGTACAAACCGTCTTCACCGACTTGCCTCTCCTCCCTCGTAGATATGCTCTCATATGTCAGCAGTGTCTGTCTCATAACGGCATGGCATTAAAAGAAGAATTCGAGTACATCGGTAAGACTTTGAGCATCACGGCTCTCTTTATCAGTCTCTATCAAACACTGGGCCTGCACTTGCCCTCTAGCGTTTGGCAGCGTTGTATATCACACGCCTCTTAAATGCCTCTGCCACCACGGCTCCCCGTAAGCAAAAACACGAGCACGATTGAATATGCAAAGTGGTGCTACGCATCCGTCTGAAATGTTTATGCATCTCAGGCAGTTTTTGTCATTGATTCATGCATATTAATTTATGTGTTTGCCTGTGTATTAGAGTGCTTGCATTAACTAGATGTATGATGTTGTGTTGTTTTTAGCCTTCAGATGTGCGTATTGTTATTCTTTGAACCCTGCGAGAAAGACCAGACCTCAGGCTCCCAGACTCCCGGAGGTCACCAGTGAGGCAAAGATGGCGTCTGACACACCTTTACCCTCATCTGCTGTTGAAGACAAGAACCAGCTTGTTCCAGGTGATCATCCTAAACTTATGTAATCCATATTTCTCAGCTGTGCTGGTCTTCGCCACATTTACTGATCGATTTTGTCTTTTTATCAGAAAAGGCCAACCTCGCGGACGTCCCTGTTGGAGAAGATGCTCAAGAGCCACGCACAGAGACGAGCACAGAACCCGGTTCTGCAACAGATGACCAGAACACCCCAGAATCACAAGATCTGTCTGCTGAGAAATCTGATGAAGAGCAGGATGTTTCTGCCATGGAAGTGGAGTAAAATATCTGAGCAATGATTTCTGCCTGCAGCATTTTGTCTTTGTTTGATAGATTAAGTTTACAGATGTTTGTTGGTTATGAAAGTACAACCCAGCTGTTCTTGTGTTTGTTTTTAATTTAACGGGAAACCCTTTTAACCTCTTGATAAATTAATGGAATGTTGCTTCACACCAACCTCTCTGTACCAGCTGATAAATGTCTTGTTTTATTTTATCTTTATTTGTTCATATTTTATTTGACTGAATTTGATATGCTCCTTTGATTAAATAGGAAATTGTACAATGAAGCATATTTTATTTATGAAATATTTAAAGCTATTTTCCTTTAATGCTGCACCTGTCATTACAGTGTTTACTGCAGTACTCTGCATTATGTCGGTGTTGCTATGTTTACACAAGTACGGTACCATGCAAACAAAAGCACATGCATTACAGCACATATTTATTACTAGAGGATTCGTCAGTACTGTCTTTCTGCCCTAAGTGCCTTTTTATGTCTGTTTCAGAGTTTTGCCAATAAAATAAAATTGTTTTACTGTTTGTACTTAAATGAGTTTTGTTTCTAAATGTATTGAGTCTTTTTCTGCCGAAACAAACTTGTGAAGAAATCTTTTCGTGTCCGTTAAGATAAGTAAAGCTCGATGCTGTGTAATTGTCTAGATGACATGAACACGTTTATTAATCTCATGTGTTTGTTATACATTGGAGCCTGTTCTATCCATCGAGCTATTCTCCAAACCTCATATCTAAACGGTCTGTTTTCATTAACAAACCAATTATTTCCTGTGACTATTTTATTTTAGCTCATTGATCATTTCAGACACTTAAGATTATGGTGCCGACACAAAGCCTGACCAGTCTTGATTGCTTGACCACCTGTATTTGCAATGGGAACGTCGCTGCTCTTCCAAAGTCGCTCTCTGCCGTCACGTGATGCATTCCTCCCTCTCCCCATGAAGATGCTCTGTAAACTTATTGGTGAGGTCAACATCCCACATCTTCTATGGGTTTTCATAATGTATGTTTACTGAGACATGACCTCCTGGGCCTTGTAATGCATCAATGTGACACCGACAGTAACGCCTGATTCCACCGCATGCTGTTAGAGGTTGACCCCTGACAAGAGTCAAACAGGAAAAAAAATGGGACATCAATAGGACAAGGTTTAGGCTTTTTTTCCCCCACACCACTGAGGTTGTTTAGTATACAAAAGCTGGCGGCATGTATGATGTGTCACAAAAGATTGCTGCATTTCAGAATTCTCAACATGGAACAAATCTGCCTTTATCAACATTTCTTTAAGTTGTTTTTATGGCGCAATTGATGAACTGTGTACCCCATTAATTATTTAAAAGAAAACAATCGGAATACACTCATTTTTGAATCGGATATTTAAACCATCACATTTAAACTTATGTCAAAGCTAATTGATTTCCAAGGATGACAAATGACTCACAAAACCCGAGGTAATCTTGAGCAAGCGATAAAAATGTACAGTGTCCCAAGGTTCATAGTTCCTTTTCACACTCATCTCTCACATGTTCATCGGAGGACACTTGACTCAAATTTATACTGATCTTTTATTTATACCCAGAAAAAAATGGCAGATAAGAAACATAAGTGTTCTTGATATTGTGTTTTGTCATATCTAGCAACCAAAAGATTGAAATCCTGCGAAACAATTTTCTGAAAGAAATGAAAGAGCGTGCCCTCCTGAACCCTGGAGGAAAATAACCCCACGGTGCGAGGCGGAATACGAAACAGAGGCACAGAATAAGTAAAATAGACAAGTGCACCACGGCTTGTCACTTTTCCATTTGCTGCCCCCGAGCGAGAGCGTTTCAAAATTCTCCTCATCTCAGATAAGACCTTCATCGTTATGCTCGATCTACTGTACTGAATACGAAAAAAGTACGGCATCAGAAGGAGGTAATAAGGAAGGGAGTTCTGGGAAAAAATCTCCATGTTTCTGTCAATCATAAAGTGGAATTGCAACAGAAAGAACAACAATGTCATAAATGTGCGGCACAAGCCGTTGTGCAGCGAGGCAATGCTGGGATGAGTGTCACAGAGGTAGTTAACATGGGTGGGATATTAGACATCACCACTGGCTCTTGACAACAGCATCATTACACAGTAATAAGAGCACAATCTCCTTCAGAGAAGCATTAAAATCAAATTAGATTATACAAGCGCCTGGCTTGATGAGCTGCGAGAGCTGATGGTTCTGGAGCACTGGATCTCTGGTTATTACTGTAAAGCCCTTTAGGTGTCTGGGTGTGAATTGCCACATGACGGAGCTTTCAATGTAAAGGTCATCAGTTACCAAGAAATTACATGTTTAAAAAATTTAAGTCCTGCACACCCAGATGGATGGGTCCCCATTCTTTTTTTTCCACCACATTGTATCTGACAAATGTCACCGTGTGCAGCTGAATGCATGATGCTGTCTGTAAAACAATGAGTTGTGGTTTAAATTGGAGTGACATTCAGGGATCAGAGAGCATTGACATTCTCTGTCCCATCTTGTGCTCATGTCCCATCTTATGCCACTGAACTATGGCATCTGTTTAAGGAATTGAAATGCCTCAACAGTTATTACTGCAACAATCCAAGTAAACATGTCTTATAGTGGAAAAGGACAAACTTTAGGAAACATGAGCATCTATGAATTGTTGTAAACCTACTGCACTTTACCCTAAGGAGATGAAATTATTTACTTTCCTTACGCTATATTGTATTGTTTTGCATGACATTAAATTGCAAATAATTCCATTTACTTTAGTATCATATTATATCATATGTGGTACCGTATCATATTGTATCATTTCCTATTGCTTCATATATCACATCACATTGTATGTATCAGACCTGTGATGGATTGAAGACCTGTTCAGGGTGTCCCCTGCCTCTCACTTGATGGCTGCTAGTGATAGCCACCTGCTCCCCATGATCCAAATGAGCATAAAGTGGTTTAGAAGATCAGTGAGTGATTGTATCATATCAGGTATTTGCCTGTTTATTGTGCTATATCGTATCAAATTTGATTGTATCATAAATCATATCATATATCTCATTTAATTGCATTGCACTGTACTGCATTGTAATGTAACATCTAATATTGTACCATAATGTATCATAAGGTATTATATCTTATCATATATAATATATCTTATCTCATATCATACATCATATCTAATCATATTTAATTCTACACATCATATATCGTATCATAACATATATCATATCATATATAGCATCATATCATTACATATATATCATATCATGTCATATCATGTATTGTATTGTATCATACCAGATATCATAGGGCTGGACGATATGGCCTAAAATCACGATATATAGACGATTTCACCTCGATAACAATAAATGAACGATAACTACGGGTATGGGCAGAAACAAAAGTTGTCCACTAGATGGGGCTGTCACATGTATTACGTTGAGTCACATTTTTCTGTGGTTTTTCAAGGTGGTTCAGCTTCTTAAAGGGACATGAATGTTGCTAGCCTACACACATCTTTTCATTTTTTCAGTTATCAAATTTATTGTCATGGGAATAAGTATCTAAATAAGAGTCCGAAATTTTGATTACAATAAATTTTCTATTTATTGCCCAGACCTAATTCATCATATATCGTATCATATCATATGTCATATATCATATCGTATCATATCGATACATATATATCATATATCATGAGCAACAGTAGCTCAGTGGGTAAAAGATGGTACTTTGATCTTGGCTCCCACCAGAGAATACTGCTTTTGTGTTCCTGGGTAAGACACTTAACCCGCCTTCCCTGCTGGTGGTGGTCGTATCATGTCATATTGTGGTCTATATTGTATATGCAGTGAAAACCAATAACATCAGAACAAGGGCAATCTAAATGTATGAACATTTTTTTGTAGGGAATTTAATTAAAATACAGCACAGTAAGACTATTTCAATTGCCATCGTCCCTCTTTTACCCGTTATTTGAGGAAGAACACTGGAAAGAGAAGAAATAGAAAGGCTAAAAACGCAAACTGCTTCCACCTCCTCATGTGGAAATCATACAAAGCATCCTGCAGGCAGCAGGGTTCATTTTATAGCTTCATCTATTACCACACTGTCATTGTTAATTGTCTTCTTTTTACCTCTGCAGGATTCTCCAAATTGGTCCTATCGAATGTGACAGGAGGAAGAGCATTAAGCATCTGACAAGATGATATCTAAGTTCAATTTCCTACTCCTCACCTGATTTATACCTGCAGCAGATCATTTTCTTTTCTGTCATAAAGACCTCTATAAATCAGTGGTGCTTATGGAAGCACTAGAGAACAAGGTCCCTGGATTTGTATCCCCTGTGTTTGCGATTAGAAAGCCATTACAGCCACATTTTCCTCCTTCAGACCAAAATGATCAAATCTAATACGGGTAAGATTAGAGAGATAAAGAGAGAAAAAGCAGGAGGATGTGTTCAGCACAGTCTCCTATCTAAACAATATGCTCTAAACTCAATAAAACAGGGGCTTTTTGCTTGTGACACCATTATCCATCTGTTTGGACAAAATTGCTGTATCATGGTATAAATCTGCGATACAAGTGACATTTCCTCTAAAATAAAAGGGAACATTAACTGCTCTATCTTCTAGAGGCCACGGGACTCGCCGGCTATAAGCTCAGTCAAGTGTGATGGCAGTTATACTGTGTTTTACTAGACTGCAGACAATTATACTTTGGTCCTCTCCTCTACGAAGACAAACTGCCGTGGCTTCAACTGAAATGATTTCAAATAGATTTTCCAAAATGTCTGTCGCCAGATTGCTTCCATACATTATTTCACTTAAATGGAGAGAAAAAAAGGAGGAGCAAACCCACAAATCAATCACAACGGCCCACTTTACCAGATGGAAAGACAAGAGATTGGAGCGTGCATGTGTGTGGGTGTGTGTGTTTTGTGGACCTGCAGACATGGACAGTTATGGGATGTGCACAGTCCTGTCTCTGCTATGAGTCTTCCTCAAGCTGAAGTATGGCTCTGTATTTATTTTCAACTGGGAATTCATTGACAGTAGAATAATGTTTAATGGAGCGACATGAGACTTTTGACAAGTTCAACAATGAGTTAAATAATCTGTCAGTAATGTGAACTAAAGTTTTCATATAATGATTAAAAACAATAAGTGAAGAAATCCATGCCTAATAGGAAGGCTCCAGGTCCAGATGGGTTTCCAGTAGAGTTCTACAAAGAATTCTGGATCATTCTGGCTCCAACATTCTTCAGAATGGTGAGGGAAATCGAAGAGAGTGGCAGATTACAGCCAAACATGAACTCAGCCAATATTAGTCTCTTGTTACAACCAGGCAAAGACCCTGCATTTCCTATCAGCTATCGCCCAATTTCTCTTATTAATGTTGATCTCTAAATTATTTGTAAAGCCCTGGCAAAAAGATTAGAGAAGGTAACCCCGTTCATAATACACCCTGACCAAACTGGTTTCATTAAGGATAGACAGTCATCCACAAACTCACGT